AGCATTTTGCCTAAATTATTTTGGAGGTGTTTATTCAATGAACAGAAACACATCTGGAAATGCATGTGGAAGAAAACTTCATTATCTAAACCTTCCTGAATTTTTTTTTTGCAATTTCTTTTCTTCTATCCTGACAAATATTTCTGCCCCTGTTTCCAAGCCACTAGGAATAAAACTAGACAGAAAACACAGAATAAAATACAAACCTAACATCACTTGTCATTTATGAGAGTGTCCTAGTGCAGACATGGGGATGACTAGGACTAATGAAAGGAAGAAAAAGAACTCAGGGAGTTAGTGGGTTAGCACCTTTTTTTGCAGAGAGACTGGAAAAGTAGGTCACACGATAAGCTGGGCATGAGATGACTTTTGGGACTCACCCACAGAGATCATCCTGCCAAAGCCATCCCAGCTCTGTGCCCTCATGCACCTTTGCTGTCTGACTGCACGGTGGAGAGATCTGAGAAAAAGGCTGACACCCCTCTCCCCTGGGCTGTTTTCCCCCAGAAGATTTCCCTTTAGCCCTGAGTAATCACTAGTTATTGGTTGTGGCACTTCACTAGCCAATCTCTGGGGAGAGCAAATTTGGGGGGTGGGAGGGATGTGAATGGACTTCACAGTGTTCAGAGGGTCAATATTCTATAAGAAGATAAATTAAACCAGAACACACACTACACTGAACAGTTCTGAGATGACACTACCACAGAGCTAAAAGCTAACACAGAGATGCCAGTATAAGGCGTGCCTTCCCTCAGGTCTGTGCAACTCACAGGTAAGACGTGACTGGTCATTCATTCATTCAAAGTGTATTTACTGAGTGAAGGAGAAGGAGCATGTCTCCCAAATGTAAGGTCTAGTAACATAAACCAAAAGGCTACTGGACTTCCAACAAAATAATTTGTGTAAACAGATGGGTCTTTTGATATATAAACTGTAGCATTTCTTAAAATGTATCTATTTTATATTTAATACATCTAAATATATGCACACTTTAATGTGTGGATTTGAGAACTAAGATTCTCTTACTTAACATTAGAACATATGCTTGAGAGAAGACCTCTGCATGTTGTCATTTCTTGAATACATGTGAACGTACGGTTAATGTTGGTGAGTGATTATAAAATGTCAGTGCCTGACTAAGTCTACAGCCCAGGGGGCCTGGGAACCCTGACCGTATCAGTCATAGCCTATCAAAGTTAAAAATCCTCTCATTGGGAAGAATCTCTTACAAAATTACATGGAAAAATAAAAATAAGTGATTCAAATTTTATACTTTTTAAAGTCCTAATATGTTAAAAAGATAAGAGAAACCAATTAAGTGACAGTTAATGAAAGTAATAAAATTTATGTGGTATTTATTAAAAATGATAAAACATGTACCTTCTAAAATCCACAACTGCACCTCTTGCTTTGTTCTAGGTAGTTTTCTGCCATATGCCTACAAATCCCATTATACATTTTAAGAAATCATCTTATCCATTTAAATAAAGATACCAAATCACTTGATTTTCCAACTGGATTAATAAGCCTGCATAGAATGATTTAAGTCATGATTGTCTGCTCATGACCAGCTGTTTTAAATTAGTCTATTAAGTAATTCAGACACTTTTCTTCGCAAAGGCTGCATGATTTGATAAATTCCCATATGCCTCAACATGTGCCAACACTAGTAGGTTATCTTCAATCCAGCTGCTGTTATGAGGGTGGCTGCCAACTTTCAAACAACTGAAGAGAGTAATGAATCAGCTTCCAGTTGGCTTATAAGCAAACTTGCATTGCTCCCAGCTAAAGTACAGGCCAGTTTCAACTGTAAAGAAAATTAATTAAAAAGATTTCATCTCCACTGTTTGAGAAACATGGCACCACAAATAAGGCTGAATTCGTAGTTTCAAAGCCGGCAGCTCTGGGTAAACTCTATAGTAAGGATTTCAGTCCTAAATGCTGCAGGTTGTTTTAAAGATTAGAATTTTTGAGGAAACAGACTAGGAAATGCCTCATCGCTAATTCATAACATGAATATTTGAGAAACCTCACACTGAGAGCAGGAAAAATACAAACAAGACTCTTATTTTTAAGGGCTCGTTACAGAAAAGGCTTCAAAGGCTTCAGAGGACACAAGGTACAGATGAAAAGTCACATTTACACAGGAGCTAAAAAGCAGGCGGAAGAGCGCACCAAACCCGGTTAGGTCCACGCCTCCTTGGAAACGCACAAGACAGGGCCACGTGACAGGATCGCCCCCCACCCCCATGAATAACGATATTGTACTGACTTTAATAGACGCTGGATGAAACAATCCGGTGCTGGGTCAGCTATCCAGATGAGGGGTTCTATGAGACCCCCTCAAACTTCAGTGTGTCCAATAAGCACTGATCTATTTGGCATAAAGCTACGTTAGTTTTTACGGGAAGAAATATGCAAAATATCAGAGCAGACATCGGCTTAAGTAAAATGATTTCCTTACTTCTTCATGTCCATTAGTTTTTATGAGAAGAAATATGCAAAATATCAGAGCAGACGTCGGCTTAAGTAAAATGATTTCCTTAATTCTTCATGTCCATTATAGTTGCAAATCATTCACTGGATGGTGGACTTCCCTGAGGGACAGGAAAGCGTTCATGCTAAAGAGCAAAGCTGGCCTATATTGTCCTCGCAGGATATGACTATTCTTCAGAAGCAACGGGATTGGACAAAATACAAAATTTTACGCTTCTCATTTATGGACCGTCTAAAACTACTCAAGGATCATCTTAGAAACAGTAATAATCTGCCGCCTTCTTTTCCAAAGGAGATGTGTTTCCTGCATCACCTACTCTATACACCAGGTGTACCATATGTATCTACAGTTTTTCAGTGCACCTTATGATTATAAGCTATTAAGTCAAAATTTATGCGTGAAATTGCATACCTGGGTTGCTCTGCCCTCACTCTATACACACAATGCACAGTGAATTTTAAAGTCTCCTGGGGGGCTGACCGGCCAGGCTCATGCTCTCCAATTCCCGTGCCTCACGGCACTCGAACCAGCCTGAGGATGGATGGGTGTGGGAAGGGGTGTCTTCTCAAGGCATCTCCAATATCTTCTCAAGGGATTTCTGGTATTTCAGAAATACTGAAACTGCTGGAAATCCTGGAGATCCGTAGGGAGGGTACTTGCTTCTGGGGTCTTCCAGCCACTTGAAATAATTCTAGACAAGCTGCACAGATACCTCAGGGTAACTCAACTCCCAAGGGAGGACAGCGAGCTTAGACCACGCATAAAGGAGGAGACTGTTTCCTGATGCTTTGAGGTGATCATCTCTGGAGCATGCTGTTGAAGCTATTCAAGATGCAACAGATCTAAAAAGCCCATCTTTGGAGCAACATAAAGGGCTAGAACTTGTGAAATTGTTGCCAGTTAAGTAGCCACAGTAATTCTCCAAACAGCCAAGTCAGTGCTCACCCAAGTGGAGGTAAAAGAGAAGTGGTGATTCCTTAATTTCACTGAACCACATCAAAGTAACAAACTATTTTTGCATTTGGAAAGGAACCCTTTCCAGTCTATTCTGCACAACAGGATGCATGTCTACACCTGGCAAAATCTTGTGCAACAGGCATGAACTGGGAGCATTATTTGCTAGTGTCCTGGCAAGAGAGAGGAAAAGACTCCACAGGTGCAACAATTTGCAATTTTGAGAACATTCCATTCACCAGTGCCAGCGTGCCCAAAAGGACTCCCACAGCAAGCTAGAAGAAATGCAGAGGAAGCACACCGGCCAGCAGCTGGCACCTAGCATAAAAATCCTTACTCTTTTGTCTTGACCTCAGTTCTGTTCAAGATCAGAAACTATTAGAGATGGTAGAGATCTGTCATTATTCTGCTTTCTACTTTGAAGGCTCTATATACTCAATGGTTCCATTAGGAAATCTTGGAATAAATACAGCTTCCATTCACTGATTCAAATATTTGAACCATTAGCAGCACTTGCTGGGTGTGCACGAGTGTCTAGGATGGTCACGAAATGCCTGGAGGGAAAAAAAATTGGACACACAAAGGAAGATGAGGCAGGAAGGAGAAAATAAACAGCAGGCAAAGATTTTAAAAGATTGAATGATTGAAGGGAGAAAAAATACTTGCTTACATTTGTATAAAGCAATGACATCCATATAAGTACTTTGACATGGAACAGAGATACATAATTATAAAGAGAAGATGGAAATAAAAAGTATGGCAATTGAGAAAAACAAGAGGAAAAAGTATGGGAAGTAGGAAGGCGCGTACCACAAACACGTCAGGGTAAGTGACTCTGCCCTGTGGGGACCGAACAGCACCCTGCGCTTCTGGTCGGCTGGGTCCGGCCAGCACCGTGCCTGCCCTGTGCGACCCCAGGAGGCCTGCAATGCCTGGGGATGGCGGGAAGTGGGGTTCTGAAGGGTATCACCCTGGGCTGCAGGTGTTTTCTGTGGAAACGCGACGATCATTCATGGGTAATATTGTGTAAAGACACCTTACTTCTGGTCAACTGCACTGTGAACTTTAAAAAATAGGATCCTAAAACCTTGTAAATCACAATTCTTGAAGTAAACGAAAGAGATGAGCATGTACAAGCAAAGGCTTCCAGATACTCTTCAAAAAATGGTACTTGGTAGAAAATTACCTATTTTGTTGTGACATGACTCGGCCTACCTCCATGTCAAAACCAGCTTACAACTTCCAAAAACCACATTCAAGGAGATTTAGGCAGAGCAAAGCGCAGGTTCCATCTACTAGGCCAGATATAAAAGTGATCACAGTGCCTGTCGGTGTAGAAAGACGGGCAGTCTTGCACAAGTAATGGGGTGTCACACACAGATGGCAGATGGAGAAGAGACCCCGCCAGGGGCACCCTGGGGCCCGAGGCCTTGACAGCGTGCAGGGCCGCCTCCTCTCACAGCGCCTGTCCCCGTGGCAGCCACGAGCGTGTCTCTGCGCATGCTTTTCAAAGACAGACGGGGCGATTTTGTCAAGTACTAACACTTACTTCTCTCTCAGGAAGTCCACCACCCTCCTGAAGTCGGCCACGCAGTACTCCCTCCTCATGTCCGCGAGCACCGCGTCGGAGGCGGACTGCACCGGGACGTGCAGAAAGGCGTACACTCTGGGGTGACTAAGGATCTTGGCCATTTCCTTTAAAAAAAATGAAAGGAGAAAACATTTTAACAAACCAGGGAATGGCTTCCCAAAGATCAAGACTCACGAGTGCGGGCAAGTAAGCAGAGCTGCAAACAGGCCCCCTCGGGGCTCACAGTGAGTGTCGGCCGCCCACACCGCACCGTGACGTGTGGGGACTCAATGCTACTTTTGGGGGACTCCATATATGATATGAGCTATTTCCTCATGTTCACCATCTTAGACATCTTTCAGGACAAAGCGGAGATAAACTCATGTAATGAGAAAAAAGCAAAACGGTTTTTGGGTACTTTAAAATAAACACCACTCCTCCTGCGCCTCAAGGAAGTTTCATATGCTGCCTCGCTACACTGGCAGCAAGAGACACCCAGGGTACTTGGGGCAGACAGGGGAGGCCCTAGGACCCTCGGTGTTTGAATGAAATTTCTAAATTCAGAGCCAGTCAATACTTCCTTTTTCTTAACACTGAAGGAGGAAAAGGTCCATGTAAACCGCCTGTTTCTGCTGATGAGCACGTATTTCCTGAGTATCTGTCATGAAAAGGCCCCAGTGATGGCGCTGGCCGGTTTGCCGGGTCCGCTCCTGACACTGACATCGGGGTGCAAAGGACGAGAAAGAAGGGAAGAAAATGAAGAAGAGTCTATCTTGCAAAGTTAAAGCAAAGTGAAATAAATTAGGAAAGCCAGAGAGTGTTTGAAAACAACTCCGAGGATGTAAAGCAGGTGGGAAGAGACTGGTCAGAGGAAAGCTGTGCCAACTCGGCCATTTACGCGAGCGATTAGGAAGCGGGTGATTTAACCCCCTTGCTGCTGCAGGCGGAGGGCCCCCCAGTCAGCGAGGGCTTGGGGGAAGGGGAGGAGAGGTGCAGAAGGCAGCGGAGGGACGGGGCAGAGAGCCACACAGCGGAGCAGGGGTAAAACTGCCGAGAGAGGGGCTGCTCGCTCTTTCTTAACGAGCCTGCGTCCAGTGACTCTGTTTGCGGAGCAGGGCGCTCTTACAGCTGTTCCGCCCTTAGAGCATCATTGTTGGGGGGCATTCTGGAGTCAAGAGCCAGCGAATTCCACAGTCACCTCTTAGTTATCCAGGGGGCGGTCGTGCGTATATATCAACCATGCCACATTTCTCCATTTTCTTTCCACTGACTGTGAACATCCACACATTTATTTTGCATCCCTTGGTAAGCACGTTGCCTTTTGCTAGGATTCCCTGCCTTTCAGGTTTTTCACACCTGAAATCAAGATTCCCAAAGTATAAGAAAAATAACTGTGCAAAAGTCTGTGTTTCCTAAAAGGGCAGGCCTCTCAGCTTTAGCTAACTTTCAACGTATCTACTACAGTAAAAATAACACCTTAACAAATCACACAATTTGTGAAATGAAATTTCACTCTTGATCTCTGCCTCAGTTTTCTCATCTGTGAAATGGAGATAGTGGTAAAAATCACCTCAAAGAACTACTGGGCTGTTGGGGAGAACAAATGAGGTGACCCAGTATGCGCTTAAATATGAGCACCAACCACCTGACATCCTTTTGCCACAGAGCATTCAGAGTTCATGGTAACACGCTCTCATGCATACTTATGCGACAATATCAATAAGCAGGATGGCTTTTCAATAAGCCAGTTCCCTTAACTAGTAAGTAAGGCAAGACGACTGGTACCGATTCACATCAAATAAATCTGAAAGTGGCTCACAGCACACAGGACCCCTGGCCAGGAAGGCTGAGTCTGTTTCTCCCGGGAACACCCAGGGTGGCCGACGGCTAAACAAGGCCCTGTGCATTACAGAATGACATTTCACGACTTAATATGTCAATAGCAAACAAGTCAAGACAAATTTGGTGTTTTTTTCCCTCTGGCTTTCAAAATAAGACTTCCCACTAGCAATTACCTTCAGCTTCACACTACGGAGGGTTTTCATGACTTCATAACGGTAGGTGCCAGAATAAAGATAAAAATATACCTGCCCCTTAGCTGAGGTCCATCTTTCTCCTACCTAAAGAACAATGACTTAACAGAGATTAATGCACTGCAAAGAGACAAAGTAGCTATTTTTCATTTTGTTTTCAGTCCTGTGCCTCTTCTCACTCACACTGCTGGTTAAGGATAACCTGTGGTCACTTCACCTTTCAAGATTCTGATCTCCTCGTTCAGTTCACAGTCGTGGGTCAAGAGGAGAGCTGGGCCTGGGAAAGCCCTGGGCAGCCATGACCGGGGTCACCGCCATGCCGCCTTGGCCCGACCTGGCAATGTGCTCAAGAATTTCCAAGGTGGAAGCTCCCTAAGGGCAGAGATTGTATTCCACTCTGGTCTCCACGATGACCAGCACCGTGCTAAGCACACCAGCTACTGTGTCAACACAGATACGGGCTGTCTGGACCACATCTGCTGTTGGACAGGAACACAAACTTTCAATTAGTGTTACTTTTGTTTAACCAAAGCAGGTAAACAAGCACATGATCGACCCTCCTGAAGTTTTGAAACAAGCAGAAATGATTTGTGCACATATCATATATACATAAGTAAAAATTAGGCACTTTTTAGGTAGTCCCGCTATGGGTTATATTTCTGAAAGTATGTTGGCGCTTTGGACTGGAATCACTGGGTTTTTTTCTTATGTAAGTGATTTATAAAGGATGTGTGGGGTCCAGGTTAACCAAAGGAAAAAGGAGCACTTGGCTCACGCGGCTTACATGAGGCAGCCATGAGCAACCCTGGGCGGGACGAGAAAGCCTGAGTGCCCGGCACGTCTTCGAGAGGGAGGCTGCGTGCGGAGCAGGTCGGGCAGCGACCAGCACGGGCACAGCGTCCACTGGGCTACACGGCCATCTGTCACTCACGGGCTGCTGCACCAAGGCAGTGCAGAATACACTCCCTAAGCAGGGACTAGAGAACGGCTAGCCAACAAACAGTATTTACGTCTGATGCTTTTCCACAGAGCTCACCCTTTACAAGTTGGTAATGACCTCAATGTTTGTTTGTTTGTTTTATGAACTTAAAAAAAATAATGAATTGAATGAAAATGAGCTTAATTAAAAAAAACAATTGTATGCATGGGCACATTTTTAAAATAAATATTAAGTTTCATTTTTATTGTCTTGCAGTCATCCAATTCATCATCTTCTACCTGGTTTTGAACACACACACCACCAGCTTCACAAGGTCACTCAGTGTGAGTGTCTATCAAATACATTAACAGTCGCATTCTGACGTCTTTGCATTCACACTGACAATTATCAGTCAGAAACCCTTTGCAGCTTACAGCTTTGTTAGGAAGTATATGCATATTTAAAATGCTAAATTTCACATTGCTATATTGTTTTCAACTAACCTAAAATATATGATGAAGCAAGAAAATACTTTAAAAAAGAGATATTATACCATTACTTATTTTAAAAATAGCTTGAGATATAATCCACATATCACACAATTCACCCATAAAAGTGTGCAATTAAATGTTTTTTTAGTATAGTCACAGGATCTTGCAACCATCACCATGATCCAATTTTTAGAGAATTTTCATTCCCCCTACAACAACCCCTGGACCCGCTAGCAGCCTCTTGTCACTGTCCCCATTCCACAATCCCACTGCCCTAAACAACCTTCAATCTACATTCTCGCTCTAGAAACCTGGACATTTCACAGAAATAGAATCGTACACTATGGGGTCTTCTGGGATGAGCTTCTTTCACTTTAAATGTTTTCAAGGGTCATCCATTTTGAAGCATGTAGGAATTTTTCCAGCTAAATAAAACAAAGCAATTTAGAATTCATTAAATATGCCATTTCATGTAAAACTCCTCCAAATATTCTGAATATTATTAGCTTGATGAAGGTAATAAAGGAAGTTTCACCCATACATATAGAATACACCACCACAAACTAATGGCATCAATTTGATACAGATTAACTGTTCCATATAAGATCTTATTGGGAAAACTGTAACAGAAAAGTTTGGGAGAAGGACAGAGAGGAAGTATCATAAAATTGCCTTTAAAAAACTGGTTCTCTTTAAAATAAAGGAATTAGGGGGCTATAAGTGATACATTTTTGGTTCCTATTGTATTTTGTTTTAATGTGGCAAAACATATGTAACATGAAATCTCCCATCAGCCACAGGGGCCCTGCACCAGCCCTTGGCAATCACTGCTTACTTTCAGTCTCCAGGAATGGGACTCTTCTAGGTGCCTCCGGTTAATGAAGACACACATTTGCCCTTCTGCATCTAGCTTATCTCACTTAGCATGATGTTCGCAAAGCTCACACCTGCTGCAACAATATTATGTTATTTCAAGTGTCTCCTTCCCTGGCACTTGGTAGCTGCACCTTCAGTGCCAGAGCACACGGTTCAGACTTCCATTAGCACTTCTTTCCCTGTCCTACAATTTTACCATACATGCTCATAGCCCAAGGGTGTATCTTGTTTATCTGTATCTCCCCATTGCCTTGCTCAGTACTTCAGTTATAGGTGAATGAATGAATGACTGAATGACCCAATCAATTAATCAACATGGTGGTTTCAGAAGTTACATCTTACAAAGACTTCTAGCTAAAGGTCAGAACAGCAATTCCTGTGTTCTAGGAGACCCAATGTCTGTATTCACCTTCAACACTCCAAAAGTTAGATAAGTCAAGATAAAATAAGACCAGAGTCGTATTTCATCCATTATTTCATTAATGACACTGTAACAGCCACTAAGTGAATTGCCAGCATCTACATTTACTCTCAGCATCTAAAAATACATTATCATTAATTGCATCAGAAAGTGAATGAGGGAGCATAAGAACACTTCCAATCCTTATGTCCCAAATGGAAAGGATTAGATACTGTGAACAGATTCTAATTTACATTTGATCTATAACTTAATTATAACAGGAAATTCACATCTACACTGCAAAGAGTTAACATTTTCAGTATTTTCATTAAATAAGTTGAGATAAATGTCTGTTCTAATTAGCTTTCATGGAAATGCGGAAAGGACTTAAGCGCTCCTTTATCAT